CAAATTTCAGTATCCCGGGGGTCCTGGAACCAGTCCCCCTGTACTCTAAAAATGCATTTGAAAGCAACAATCACATTCAAAAGACCATAACTTTGGGCAAAACCAACTGCTTTCACATAATAATAAATCATTTGCAGAGAGTCTAGAGAGTATTGTTTCTTTTTCACACATCCTTTTATGTTAAGGTACTCATGTAAGATTAGGAAAGGCTGGGTATCCCCCTCTGTTGATTCAGAAGGACATTCAGTGCCAAGACTTGGAAGTGATCTATTCAGAGATACACATGGGGATGGGAGCAAAGCTAGAAAAGAAGTTTTAAGAGATGAGAACTAGAAAATAAGTGTATTCTCTAATGCAAGAGCTGGGAATACATATATCTGAAGCAGTTCATCTCACCACAATATTTATTTAATGTTGGGCTGCCAGATAAAAGTACAGAATACCCAGTTAAACTAGAATTAAACAGCAATTAATTTTTAATATATATATGCCCCATGTCATATTTGTAACCTACTTATACTAAAAAATTATTTGTTGTTTATCTGAAATTCAATTTAACTGGGCATGCTGTGATACACTAAATCTGTGACTGTATTTAATGTGTCTTTTAAAATTATCTAAAGGGAGTTCCCCGGTCGTGCAGTGGTTAAGAATCCACCTGCCAATGCAGGGGACATGCGTTTGATCCCTGGTCCAGGAAGATCCCACATGCCGCAGAGCAACTAAGCCTGTGCGCCACAACTACTGAGCCTGTGCTCTAGAGCCTGTGAGCTACAACCACTGAGCCCATGAGCCACAACTACTGAAGCCCACACGCCCAGAGCCCGTGTCTGCAACAAGAGAAGCCACCACTATGAGAAGCCCGCGCACCACAACGAAGAGTAGCCCCCACTCGCTACAACTAGAGAAAGCCCACACCCAGCAATGAAGACCCAATGCAGTCAAATAAATAAACTATATTTAAAAATAAATAAATAAATAAAATTATCTGTAAATGCCCTTGGCTTTAGATTTTTAATCTTCAGGTCAGACTGAACTCCAGACTCATAAAACCAATTGCTCACATGACATCTCCACCCCAGTACCTATGAGACATTTAACACTCAACATACCCAAAACTGAGCTCCAGCTCTCCTCCACCATGCCCCACCTCTCCCCAGGCCTGCTCCACCTGCAGTCAGCCTCATCTTACTTAATGGTCTATTCGTCTATTGCTTGGGTCAAAATTTTGTGTCATCCTTTGTTCCTCTCTTACTCTCACACCTCAAATCCCGTATTTTTGCGTCATTGTAGAAAACCGGAGGAACTCTCTATTTTATACTTCTGTAAGTTTGAAGCTAGAAAACAGGTTCAGGCAGTACAATCAATGAAGAAACATGTTCCCAAGGACTTCTGCACAGAGTTTCTCCTAGTCCAAAGAAGTCTCTTTTTTGGAACCAGGGAGCCTCTTGCTACACTTGTGTCAATCAACCAATAAATGACCATGCTTAAAGAAGGGCAAAGGTACCATCTTTTGCATTATAAACTCAGTCCAAGGCTTTCACTTTTACTTCCAGCACAGTTTAAAATGTATAGTAGGAACTGCTAACTGCTGTTAAGTGGGGGAAAAAAAAAACCTCACTACCTGAAACCCCTATCCCGCTCTGGTTATTAAATGAAACAGTTATCTTTTCACCTATAGAGTAACAGCATCTAGCTTTCTGGACTCTTAATAATCCTTTCTATCCAGAAGACAAAGGAGTTTCATGAAATTAGTAGAAAATATACAATGTGTAAATCTGTATAATGTCCAAGTCCAGCTTCAAATTTGAGAACTCCAGGGCATCTTCTGGCAATTCTTTGTTTAATACACATGATAAATGTTGTGAGGTCATGTCAGGTCTTTCTTATCAACATCAATGAACCCAGAAACTAGATAATTAGAGCAACACAGAGCAGCCTAATTTCTTTAGCCAGTCCAGACCAATAAATAGTTTCTCTAAGTTTCCACCAGACCAGCGGTTACCCTCTGAGATTTTCACCAAGGAGCAATGATTTCTACTCTGCTGTCAAGGCTTGACATACCTAAGGTGCTAGAGATGCTGGGGAAGAAGAGCCAAAGCAAAAAGGGTTTATTCGTTCATCAATATCTTCAGATATTTAAGGTCCTAGGCTTGGTGCTCAACAGAGCCAAGTTGGAAAGTAGTGTTTTCTGTCATGTGGTTTTGCTATGTCACTGTCAATAGCAACTTCTCATATAACATGTCAACAATGGCATGTACATCTCCAAAACATGGTAAATATGATTAACAATGCAATTTGTAAAAGTGACCAGGTCAAGGGCTTCCCTGGTGGCGCAGTGGTTGAGAGTCCCCCTGCCGATGCAGGGGACACGGGTTCGTGCCCCGGTCCGGGAAGATCCCACATGCCGCGGAGTGGCTGGGCCCGTGAGCCATGGCCGCTGAGCCTGCGCGTCTGGAGCCTGTGCTCCGCAATGGGAGAGGCCACAACAGTGAGAGGCCCACGTAACGCAAAAAAAAAAAAAAAAAAAAAAGTGACCAGGTCAAAGATAATGAAGGTAGCCACATGAGAAAACAATTTAAAAGATTAAATAAATAAATAACCTTGACTCCCTCTATCAAATAATCAAAGATTTGTATAAAAAAATAAGAATCAAAAATGTAGATTGCAATATACTTTTTTTTTTTCCTGTGGGACACAAAGAGGAGTAAAATTTCTTAAACAGGTTTCAGAATGATTGCATTCTACATAGAAAAGTTCATTGTTAAAGTTCAATTTTGATAAGTACTTCTCTACTGTATTGCCACATTATTTCCATATCAGGCATTTTTCTTAGCCTTCAAATTTTAAGGAAACAATCAAATTTGAATGGATAATCTATTGCACATTTCAATGTCAAAAGTTTCCATGCCTTTTTAAGAACATAGCAGGCAGGGCATGTGTTTCCTATGTTGCTATGCCCAGAGTCTCTGAAATCTTCTAAAGATTCTGTCATATAACAAAATATACCTTTCAAGCTAGATAAAAAATAATTGAGTCTATTTTTTTAAATGTCTGCAACAAAGCTATTAGCTCCCTGAAATAAAAAGGGTTTGTACAGATAGCCTTCAGAGGCAACTTCACAGGTGTCCAGTTAAAACTGTGATCTCCAGAAGACTTTGTGTGTGTAAATTCTATTAAGTCATCAAGAGCACTTTGAGTATTCCAAGTTAGTGGAGTTTCTGCCCATTTCTCATAAAGACCTTCCCATAGTCATTTTTCTTCCCAGTGATGAATTTACTAACTCTGAATGCAAATACTTCCCTTTATCCCATCATCTTCGTGACAAGTCTCTGGGTAACTGCTTCCTAAAAGGCTGTGCCTTTTCAAAGATAACTGAAATGTTTTCATCCTAATATTGTATCAACTGATCACTTCCAACAATCAAATTTTCATTTGAATATTGTATTTGGTGAGTCTCTCAGACCATCTAAAACACTGAATCTGCACGTGACAGCAATCATACTATTCAAAACATTCTCCTGCACATGTCACTAAGAGGAAAACTACCTACCCTGGAGTATAGCTATTAATGTCAAACACACTGTCATCGGAGAAAACAAAAATGCATCAAAATCAGCTTCAGACAAAGTACAGCCCTACAGAAAAACACCAGGTTTTTATGTGCAAATGTCTTAAATGTCTGATTGACATGTTTAAAGAATGAGTTAGCAAGGAATCTGCTCCTGGTCTCTCTCCATAACCCAGAATAATGCGATAATGAAAAGAATTTTAGAGTTAAAGGGCTTTTCATCATAGCACACTACATGCATTTGCCCCAGTTTCTAGTAAACATTATGAAGAAATGTTTAATTTCTAGCTTGGGCCGAGGGCTCTATTTAGCCTATCAAAGCACAGACCTGTCATAAACGCTGGGACTCTTGCCAGAAATTTTTTTTCCTGCAGCTCTTAGTAAAGATCATACCTCGAAAGCATTGTGCCTTGCAAACCACGCAGATTTAAGCTCCCACTCCCGCCTACAGAGCTTGGCACCAGCGGCTTTTGAGGTATCCCTCATCTCCTAAAACTCTGACTGAATCGCCACCACCACTCCCCACTCTCCCACCACCACCGTGTCGTCATCCTTGCTTAGCTCTCCGGAGCTCAGCACGGAGCGTCCCCCAAGCCCCTGAAGAGTGAACTCACGGTGCCACCCAACTCCCAGCCCTGCACACACCCACAAACACTCCCTCCGCTACAATCTGCCCCCAAATGTGTCACCCACCTCACCCCTAATCCCATACCCCAACGTCCCTGGAGCTCTTCCCCGCTCCTGGTGGCTTCATCCCCAACACACCTGTCTACCCCGCTGGCCGACTTCAGGTGCCCACGCTGCGCCCTATCCCGCGCCCCCTCAATCTAACTGGCGCTTCGCACTCCGCCCCGAGGAAGGTCAGTTCGCTCGGAGCACCTTCTTTCCCCACCCCTTGCCCACCTGCAGACCGCCCCCGACGCCCACCCTCACGGGCGCGGAGAAAGGGTCGCTTGTAGTACCTGCCGAGAGCGCGGTGGCCGCAACGAGCAGCAGGAGAGCCTGGCGAAGCGCGGCGCGGAACGCTCGGGTCATGGCCACCAGGCGCCGCGCCCGGGCTGCGAGGCCCCGGAGCCGAGCGCGACGGCCGGGGCAGCGCGGGCCGCTTTGAAGTTCCCGGGGCGCAGGAGGGAAGCACTGCCCGACACCCTTTTGAAGTGTGCGGTTGGCTCTAATCAGCGCGGGCGCCCCCCTCCCCTGCCTCCCCCATCCCCCGCCCCCGCGGCTGGCGGTGCGCGGCGCTCCAGCCACTGGCCCCGGCAGCCCGGCAGGCAGGGGGGCGGGGGGGCGACAGAGCCCGCCCCTGCCGCGCCTCCGCCCCCTGGGCCCTCCGGCAGCCGCACGGGGCCCCGCTGCCCGGCTGGCGGGCAAGGGCGGCCCGCAGGAGAAGCAGTGAGATCGCAGAGATGTGGGGGCGGGAGGGGGCGCAGGGGGAGGCAAAGAAAGCAGGTGGGGTGACGCGGAGTCCCCAAGACTGGATACGCTGAGAAGGGCGTCGGGACAGGAAGGCAAGCCCTACTGAGACTTCAGAAAGACTTAAACCCTGCAGCAGTTGCTTCCTGTTGCTCCGCTCTATAGTCTCCTACAGAAGATCCACGCGTCCAGGTCTCGACACTCATTGGTTGTCCAGTGCCCTGAAGGTTTTCTAACTAGACTGAGCCCTGAAACATCCTGGGTATTCCTCCTGGCTCCTCACTCCGCCACTTCCTGGCTGTGCGCGCGTCTGTGGAAGGGCGCCCTCTCTGTCCAGCCCTGGAAATAACCAGGTGCCTCACTTCCTAGGCTACCTATAGTTTTGGCTTAACAAACTTCATCTCTAATCTGATGCCTTCAAGTGACCCCCCCCCCCCATGAATGGCGACCGAAGCTGGACTACCTGCACCAGGTGATGTCGTCTTCTGCAATGTGTAATCCAGGTTTAGAAGGAAGTAGAGGACCCGTCCTATGCAAAATACTTAGCAAGTACAATTTCAGCAGTTGAAAAACTGAGGGGCGGGTTGGAATCATACACAAGCTTTAAGGGGAGGTGAAGAATGATTGAAAGTACTGCACTAGACACTTTGAGTATTGTTTAAATCCCTGGGGCTTATCAAATGAGTGTGCTTCCCATGTGGATTGCGTTTGAAAATATAAGGGCAGCATTACCAATTAATAGAAATTAGCCTAAATTTAATCCAGGTATGTAGCTTGTACATTAAAGTGAATGGAATTATTTTTTAAAAGTTTTATTGGAGTATAGTTGATTTACAATGTTGTGTTAGTTTCAGGTGTACAGCAAAGTGAATCAGTTATACATATACATATATCCACTCTGTTTTAGATTCTTTTCCCATATAAGCCATTACAGAGTATTCAGTAGAGTTTCCTGTGCTATACAGTAGCTCCTTATTAGTTATCTATTTTATATATAGTAGTGTGTATATGTCAATCTGAATGGGATTATTTTAAACTGAACAACACAAAAAGCCAAGAATCCAGTGCTGGTGTTATTGCTGCTGTTAGGGGCCTCTTTGAAAAGTGATTGTCATATAAATGAATTACTTTGGAGTAAGAGATATTACTTGCTTCTTCACCTACTTTAGCTCTAAATAGCACATCTATGGAAGACCTATGGTGAAATGCTGTATGCAGTTGACTTAATCAAAGAGTCACAGTATTGGGGGTGGGATATTTGTCGGACTTTGATGCATGATAGTGACAGTCTTGAGGATCTCACCCCCACCACCACCACCTTGTATGAATCAAAACATTCCTAAGCATAAAAAGACTTTGTTCTCATTTCATTCTGGATCCAAGCAAACAAATAAATCAAAAAAAAAATGGAGATCTGGGACAAGCCTGAGCCCTTCCAGACACCCACAAAACAGATGCTTTTTTTAAAAAAAGAAAAGAAAATGCTAGAACACATTATATTTTGGCTGACTTGGCTTGCTCATTATTTGGTAACTATACCCTAGATGGTGATCTACCATTGGATCATGAGACTTGGAGCCTAAAGATCAGGGCCTGCTTCCTCAAAAGTAAGTGGAACTTCGTTCCTCCCTATTTCTCAGAACCACGACAGGATTAAAAAGGGTAGTGAATGTGAACATACTGTCAAACAAAGGCATTATGCTAATGTCAGGTATTTACCCTCCACATATTTATTTTGTCTCTTGAATACAGTAAGAAATTTCCCTGCAAGTTGGAAAGCTCTCATCTTCTAAGAAAGCAAGGTTATTATGCCAAGAAGTCTGATATTGAATAACTTCAATATTCTAAATAAATTCAACACTTTCCTCTTAGTCTATTGGTGCATTGTCTGCTATGTTATCCACCAGCCACATGTGAGTAGTGAGCACTTGAACTGTGTCTAGTCCAAATTGACATGTGCTGTAAGTATAAAATGCATTCTGGGGCTTCCCTGGTGGCGCAGTGGTTGAGAGTCCACCTGCCGATGCAGGGGACACGGGTTCATACCCCGGTCTGGGAAGATCCCTCATGCCGCGGAGCGGCTGGGCCCGTGAGCCATGGCCGCTGAGCCTGCGCGTCCGGAGCCTGTGCTCCGCAACGGGAGAAGCCACAACAGTGAGAGGCCTGCGTAACGCAAAAAAAAAAAAAAAAAGCATGCTGGATTTCAAAGACTTATTACAAAATAAGAATGTAAAATATATCATTAATAATATTATATTGCTTACATGTTGAAATGATAATATTTTGGATACATTGGGTCAAATAAAATATGTTACTAAAATTAATTTCACCTCTTCCTTTTTACTTTTTAATATAGCTATTAGAAAATTTTAAATTATATGTGTGGCTCGCATTCTATTTCTATTGGACAATGCTGGTCTAATGAATCCTCCTCAAATGGCAAAAGATCATTACCTTTGTCTTAAGCACAGTATAAAAAAGCCAAGTGTTGTTAAGTACCTTGCCAGACAACATGTGGCCAGCCAATGAAGGAAGCAGCAACTCTTGATATCTTGGTGCAAAGTTCTGTGATACAACAAAAAAAGGTTAATAAGTCAAAATCTAAATACTTAACTTGTAGGATTATATTAAACTACATCTCCAAATACCATTTCCCTCTGTCCTAAGTTCATGTCTTCTTCCAACATCAGTTCTATGGCAGCTTTGAAGTAACAAGTTAACCACTCAGCATGTATTGAGTTCCAATGGCTGGCAAAGTATATTCTTAGGCAACTATAAATATTTCTGATAGGCTTGAAGAAAAGAGCTTCACCCTTATAACGTGTCCCAATTTTTACTTAAAAGAGTATACTTTATTTGTACACACACACATAAACGCACCTATGGAAATTAATCCAGTTTTAATCCAATATCTTTAAAAATGAACTATTATTAAGAAAATACTCCTTGGACCATAGTGAGTGACTCCTGTTACTTAATATAAGCAGCACAAATGCATTGTTCAAGATAGGATATAATATAGTACATCTTTCATACTTTTGTACATAACAGAAAAAAATTTACATGTGAAATTTTTAAAAATTTCACTGGAAAGACATTTACATGCAAATATGTTTCTAAAGATTTAAGGTTCCCCCCACCCTTAATCATCTATTTGTACATATTCATTACCATAGCAACATTACATCATGACTCCTGGATTCTCATCATCAAAGGAAAACAAAAACAACAAATAATTGAGGAGTTCATAACCCATCAGCAAAACAGACTTCGGGTGAGTAAATCTTACATAACCAGGGAAACAGGTATAAATTGTAAAGATTTGATGCATTTGCAGAATAACATTCCAAATGAATAAGGCAAGTAAATGTGTAATAACTGAACTTTGAAAATGACTATTGGTTGGGTGTGGTTGTTTAGGATTTTTTTTATCGTACAGGTTTCTTTTATTATTATCCTTTCCAGAATCATGAATGCCATGCATCTTAATTTCTCATTTCATCTTGGAACATGAACTTGTCATGGAACAAGCATATGGTGAGGAGGCATACTATGATAATTTGCTATATACTGTCAAGGTCTAATCTTTTCTCATTTTACTGCGTTTTTCCTTCCCTAAACTCACATTCTCTCTAAAGAAGTGCATGGCACACTCATCTTCACTCATCTCATCTCTTAATCCCAGAAAGTTTTACATTGGGAAATTTTAGTTTCACTTCGGTTCTTCTTCTTCTCTTGTCTGTTGTTAATTCTATCCCATGAAAATAGTCATGTGTTTTAGGAACTTTGTTGAGATTCTATAATATATACCTTCAAAGTGTCTATACTTCATGAGACAGCTCAGGTCTCATAAAAAAGAAAAATAATGACCCCGCTCTGTGGACATGGATAATGGGGGGATATCAAACAGTTTCTTAGCTCGACTGCCACTGCTAAAAGCTTAATATCTTTGTAAAGTATTCACACTAGGTGTTTTCACCACCTTCCAAAATGACTGCACCCCATTCACTGATTTTTGTATGCTTTTAATACTATTAATATGGTCTTTCAGCAAACTCAAACTTTGTCTGTTTTCTCTTCCACTGGCTAATGTCAGTGTGCTAAGCTGATTAGGTGCATTCAATACAGGCTCTATCTATAAAAGGCAGGTCAGAGATTCAGTTCCAAGTAAGCAAGCCTCCACCACTTGGATCATTTCCTTAAAATGGGCCTGTAATTATACTCTACCAGAGTGAGGTTACAAGGAGGTAAGAGAGTTAGATGACTCAGTACAAATGCATCTCTTCCTGAGTAAATCACTCAAAAAGGACAGTTATTTTTAACCCCAGACAAATACCCTGTTTCTTTCCCCCTTATCACTTCCCTCTGTTTCATCTTTTACATCCAGTTAATCAGCAGTTTCTATGGATTCTAACTTTTATTAAAAATCTCTCAAATTTTTTCACTTCTTTCCATCTCACTGCGACCATCCTACCGCAAATCATCATCTTCTTTTACTTGAAATGTCAAAAATGCCTCCTAACTGGTCCCCCTTCCTTGAGATTCACTCCTCTCCGATCTATTCTCATGGACTCTTCAGCCAGAAGGATCTTTTTATAGCACAAATGTGTTCATGTAACAGAATGCTACCTAAGACGTATTGCTAGTTCTAACACTGGCAGTTCTGACATTGGCAACTGAAATTAACTTGGCACATAATAAGCACCCAGGGGGACTGGCCTTTGAAGTGCTCTGCCCTGTCCCCCAATGGGCACAGACAGTGCATCTGACGCCATCAACACCCTGAGGCCGGACAGTGGATGATTCTGCTAGGATCTCTCCTGCTGCTGCATCTGAACACTAGCTGTGGCTTTCTTCACCCTAACTGTAGCTTCAAGGAAGGCTTGGGAACAGAGCATCAGGTTTTTTAAAATATTTATTTATTTATTTACTTTTGGCTGTAAAACATAAAATGCACAAAGTAAAAAAGATTGCCAATGACAAAGGCCCAAAAATAGTTATCAGAAGTACTCACTTTCTATCCCCTAAGAGTGAGACTCTTGTTCCTAAACTGAGACGTCAGGGATTTTTCTATAACCTAACAGGACAAGAAACCAAAAAGAACAATGATAGAAAGCATTACTGTCCAAAGCTCCAGAGGAGTAAACTTGAGAGTGATGTGAAGGATGCTGGGAGATCTCAAAAATAATCCAAACTCAATCACTTCCTGTTGGATTGTCTATGTGACCCAGTAGCTTTTACTAACCTGCTGCCAAGTAGGGTGCTTATCTTGTGATAGGACCCCACATGTGTCCTGCTCTTAGAGGTTCATAATAAGTCATTATCAACCCACTCATTTCCTTTAAGGTGACTCCTACATTAGGATTATCAAACATACAGCAAACCATGACATTTTGGAAGATGAGGTACATTATTTTCTTGGTGTGCCCCTTCTCCTTATCTATTGTATAGAGATGTAAAATACACTGATACTTCTATTTATGAATTCTCTGGAAACCAGATTCTTAAGAAACTGCTGTGGTTGAGAGAAAAAGTCATCCAGTACTTGGTCCATCACTGAAAAACAAGTTGGCTCACAGCTTATCTCTTCCCACTCTGGGCAAAAGGACTCCACCAGTTGAAAGTAAATTAGCCTCACTCCAAGAAAAGAGGCAAAGTAAACCCAGCTGGTCTTTGCTATTTCTAGCCTCTCTTATTCCTCTTTTGCCCCCTCTGTCCTACACAAAGGGCTCCTAATCTTCCACCCATTCCTCCCATTCAAACAAGAAACGTTCTGAAATTGTATGGTTACTGGTTGATAAATTATATTTCAGAATGAACAAAATTCTATCAGGCTAGTATATAGCTGTGTATTTGTATATTGTGCCTTTAAGGGTTTTTTTTTTGAAGAAGAAGAAAATTTTTTTCTTACATGACTTTCAGAAAACAGCAATGATTAGCGGGAAATCTGAGGGCTATGGAGAATCTTACGAGAAAGAAGAATCTAAAGATATTCCTCTAAAGAGTCCAGAACTTTGCTCGATAACTCAAGTCTAATACCTTCTGAGGTTTCAATGGAGAGGATATTGTCATGTAGGCAAGAGGTTGATGGATAAACAACTCAGTAATCAACTCTGCCACCACCACGTCGGCCCAGAGAGTGGGGACATGGGGACATAAATAGAAGAAAAATTCACGTGTAATACTACAGCTTGATGTGGAACACAACTGCTCTCTAAATTCCTAGTCCTGGAGTTGATGCAAGGCTGGAGGAGTGAAACAAACTCCACTTGAAGCTCAGATATAATAACAAGGGAAACCAAACCAGATAGGAACATACAACCAGGCAACATAGTTCATAAAGTATTATTTGTTCATGTTCTTTCCTGTGGTCTCCTAGAGAGGCGTTTCCCCCCTCAGCTCCAGACTCATTTCCCTGTGGCCTGTTCGGCAGAGGCCATCTTATTTAGGGGGAGGCTGACCCCAGAGAGCAACAGACATTCCCTCTTGCCTTTCTAAAGCCCAGCTTCTAAATGTTCATTCTTTTCTGAGAATCCTCCTCTTCACCACATCATTGACTCCAGTAATATCCAACTCTTTAAAGTGAGACCACTTACTCTCCTTCCACCCACATAGGTGTGACCTTACCACTTCACAGGAGAACCATATCAGAATCCAAAGCACCAAAAGCACCAAAAGAGATACACATTCAGGTGCACACACATGTGCACACACACAGAGTAGCAAGGACCCAATTCACTGCAGCACCATACGTATCTCTTTGTGGGTCACTGACAGTCAAGTCTGCAATCAAAAGCACCAAATATGAATTTCATTTCGCTGAAGAGGGTGGCCTGTCCCATTACCCTGCTGCAGCTATCTATTTAGAGATCAAGCTCAGACTATACCAGAGAGGCAGAGAAGTGGACAACAGGTTGTCATCTGTTTCTTCAAGGTCCTGGAAGACCTTGAAGCCATGATGTCCTTAGGATAAACAAACTGGAGAACAGGATTTTGTCGTA